TTCTAGTGATTTTTTCATGTAGTTAGATATTAGCTCGAGTGATTATCATAGATTGAAGATGTTGAAGTTGGATAACATATTGTGCGAATATTAGTAAGGTTGGATTGTACTTCAAGAGGGAAAGGTAATATTTCGAAAACATTTGTGTACATTGATCAAACTATACTGATGAGTGTTCAGCTGGTGAGCTGACCCTGACTTACGGTTCATCTTCGGTTCTGTATGTTGTATATGGAGTTAAATAAGTACGTTGTGTGCTTATGAGCTTACTAGATCTTCATATATCTTGAATACTTTTAAGATTGAAACGTTCAATGACATTGGCATTTTTTGATTTCCCCCACTGTTTTTGTGAAACACAGATGGGAGTCAAAACACAAACTGCTTCCTGACCTCATACACCTATTATTAACGTCCTGTCTGTAGAAAAAAGTCCAGCGGTAAGTGAGACCCGGGTTGTCATATGATTGAGTGTTTGGTCAGATGTTAATTCATCGAGTGATGAAGAGATTTTGAGTCCACTTTATCCACAACAGAGGTACATTTATAGGATGCAAAAGTTCTTGCGCTGTTAGTGATTCTTTGTGACGAATATGCTCACGTGAGTTGACGTCCGATTATTCGTCTCTCCCATGCTCCGGTTTCCTTTGAACACACGTCTAACTTCGAAAATGTGGTCATCAAAAGAATCAATAAGGTTCGAAGTTTATATTATCCTTAAAGACATTCGTTTCCTGTCGCCACAAACTTGAATAAGTTTTTAGTGAATGTACTCAATCAGTCCAGAGCAATGGAGGCTAGAAGTTGAAGTTTGATTCCTATCCTTTCTTGCAAGTCCTGCCGAAATAATATCTCTATACTCACGCGATGCTGCTGCTGCTGCTGCTGCTGATGAGGGTAGGCTTGCGATGCTACGTTTGCTAGCTGAAATCACCACTGAACCAAAGATTTGACATGAAACTAGGCCACGAGATCTACTACTGGTCACCTAAAAGTTGGATAAAATTGGGTGCGGTCACTAGTGCTTGATGTGCATCAAAATTCTCCGATCAACAAAAGCTTCGAACTATTTTCCGCAACCTTTTGAGAAAATCATGGAAGACTGACGACAGCTTCGACTCCCCTCGCGCTAGCTACTGACTGCAGGCTTGGCCACGGTCCGGTTAACGGTTAACCGGTTCAGAAAAAAGGTGGACCGCTTAACCCGTCCCAGAGGAAATTGGGACCGGTTAAACGGACCGACGGTTAAACGGAGAATCGCCGGTCCGGACCGGATCGTTGCCAAGCCTATGAACTACATTACATTGGGGTGACGAATTTTCTCTGGGACCGGTTAACCGGTTGCAGAGAAAATTGGGACCGGTTAAACGGGACCGACGGTTTACCGGTTAACCGCCAGTCCGGACCGTGGCCAAGCTCAACTAACTGAGTTACTTACTGCAGGCATCTGGCGCGATCGGAACATCTGTAGCCGGTTCGGAAAAGTTCTTTGCCCTGGTTGCGAAGTGCTCTCCCTCTTGGTGTGTGAAGTCACTCGAGAACTCAAGGCGACTGCACGGGTTGACGCCTGGCAGATCGACTTTCTCGTGAGAATTGTTTCAGGAACTCCCCTCGTGCCATAGTGAGAAGCTGGTTTTTAGTCACAAGGCGTCTCCAGCCGCCAGCCCAGTCCAATTATTCCAGCATGTGTTTGTCACTCCTCTCCATCCGTACATGCGAGGAACACATGGGCATTTACTTTCACACTTGCACATTCCTTGCACTTGAATATTCTGTTGCTGAAATGGAAGATGTTCTTCACTTCACGACTCTGCAGTCAGTGTCATTCTTTCAATTAAGTGGGAATATTTAGTAGGTTATCGTCCAAACTTCCAATGTTTGGAAATCAGTGGACCTTCCCTTTCGCCTCAGAGTTCTTCTATCGATAAGATTGTTGGTATTGAGGTTGGAGTAAAGATCTGAAACTTTTTCATAACGGTTGAAGAAAGACCCGGATAGTAGGAACCACAAGATAATTTTCTTGACAACTATCCAAGTAAGGGACAAGGAAAACCTATAATTAAATGCATTTCCTAAGATTATAGATTTTGCTTGTCCCTTACTTAGATATTTTTTTGGTTATATAATATATATTCCTTTAGTTATATTTTCTAAATATTAATTTATATTTTTTCTTGTAGTCAATATTTTTTTAAAGTTTTTGGTTTCAATTTTTACCAATACTGACTGGCTTTAATCCTATTACAAAAAATTGTTTAACAGGAAAATGTATGAGAGTAGCAGAGCAATTACTGAGTAGAGAGAATAGAGGATCTTACAAGTTTATCCAAAATATGTGTAAGGAATGTGTCATGAACTGAAATCATCATACATGCCTCTAGTTCTCTATATGATATAGAGAACCAGGTATGCTTATGGCATCGCGATCGTATGCCGCGACGCCTAAATCAGCTGAATGGCCTATCATTTTTGCGCCTAAATTAATGCATGCATGTATGGATCCAACGGCGTTAGGCCCTCAAACGCCATGAACGTTCATACAAAGAAGGTGTTGTCAAGTAGGTCAGACGCAACGAACACGTTCGACTCCACGAGAAAAAGTTCGCTTATAACATTGAGTAGGGGACTTGGACATGGTCCTAGGGCACGGCAAGTAGGTACAATTCACCTAATGATCTCGAGCATTTTTCGATGTCTCCATCACTATCTATTGAGTTTCCAGTTCATCCAGCCTTTTCAGACCCAGTTGTCCACTTCATGTTTAAGACCTCTCGGCTCATCCTCCACGCTCATCATATTGTAACGGCATGACAATTCTCTTGCCCAATCAGAATAACGCATTTCCAATTACGTTTATCTGATTGATGAATATGGAAAAACAAGCAAGTATAGCTTTCATCTTGATAATTGTACCTTAAACTTATTCGCCAGTAGCAATTTTAATTTCAAATGCAGTCCCCATTTTGGTAAAAGACCTCCAGAGTTGAGCTGAATGTGTAATCTGGAGAAGTAGATGCAAGGAGAACCATCAAACATACGTGTACTCCATTCAAGTTGAGACGCTAGCCGAAATTAACGTTTCTTGATGAGCCTAAATTAACTTGATTATCCTGTCTATATCTCATCTCTCACAGAGCACACGAATAACGGTTAGTGTGATTCATATACAACCAACCGTAAAGCTTCCTTCCAGCTTTTCTCTTCTTCTTCTTCCAAAAAAAAAACAAATGACAATTCTAATTCTCATCATTCATTGCCAAGTAATTGTAATATACAAGCCTACTCGCTTAGAAGCTATTAAATCAGTCGGCTCATGACTCTGGATATGATTCACGAGAGAAGAATGGATTAGTTTTGTGTGAGAGAAATGTGAGTTGAACTATGAGTAGATCAAGAGAACAGGGAACACAAAGTTGTTCCGATTTCAGTTATCTCCATTTATAGAATGCACGCTTCTGGCACAAACTGGCTCTAGTCGTTGCCTAATAATGGCCAGAGACTACCACGATTATACATGAACTGATGACGAGGTTTGTTTGTTTAGGAAATTTTGTCGTATAGACATTCATTGATGGAAAGAACCTGAGCATAATACGAAGCGAGTCTGAAATTTAGAGCAAAAGGGATGGAAAGACCCCATCCTCAAACTGTGTATATTTGATGGGAACTTCGAATTTCTATACGAGTATCGTAGAGCAACGGACCAAAGAGCGATCTTCTCCGGGTTCGACGGTGATTATACGGTGGTCTCTACGATGAAAGTTCTTTCAAGCCAATAAGAAACTGCTAACCAAAATGAAACATTGATCACGGATTGTCCTGAATTGGCATCAGGGGACAAATTCTGACCATTGCGGTGCGGCGAGGAGAAGCAGGAGAGTGGTCATCGTCGATGGAAATGTCAGAGAGTTCAGGTCAAAGTCCTTTCCCTCTGTATCGAGAGCCGAGATGAACTTCGCTCTCATATTTGTTATATCATTTTCTGTTTCTTACCTTGCCCGTGCGGCCACGATTCCGCATCCAACATTTGTACTGTCTCCCAATTATGCAGCAAGAGACATTACGCATCACAATACAAGGAGAAATGGCGACCACTCCTCAACATTTATTCGTGCAATTTTCATAGCAACTATTTGACTTGGGCTTACGAAATGATAGCACATCAGAAGATCTGAGGGCGGAAGCTTGGGCTACTGCGATCGAACTAAAGTAACACCAGAACCCCGTGCACCGAGAACAGACCAACCTTTTTCCAAATATTAAACTCGACTGTCCACTTTCTTATGGCCGAACTGAAAGAAGAGCCCGGCTAATTCCCAAAACACGAAAACCTTCCCGCCAATTCGGGCTGCTGGTCATCGCTGCCAACGCCGTAGTCAGACATCTTCCCCGATGCCAGGGCAGAACAGTCGACCAGTAGCGCTGACCGGATTTCATAATTATGCAAACTGAGTGACGTTGTGCATGTATGCAGGTCACTCCTATCACTCCCATTAAAACTCCACATTATAAGGAGATGAGAAACTCAGATCTTCCTTGATTACTGGAACCACAAATAAGCAAATAGAGTATTCAGGCTGCGGATCATTCTAAAACAAAAGTCACTGCAATGTCGCAGTCCCAACTTCAAGCAAATCACATTCCAACTATGACATTGTTGCATGAACGCCGATTACCGATATGGCAGTTACGATTGATCTCATGCGACAGCGTCAGCACACCATTGGTGTGAAAGTGAATGGCTTGAAAGTAAAGATGGGGTAACTAAAGGTAGGGCAATGTGGCTGTCCAGAATGAACTCTGCCCGGGTCGAATCGAGATTCCAGACCCGTGATGCTTGATACCAGTCCACTCCGGTCTATCGAACTCTTCTGGACGACCAGAAACATAAAGTCGATGGGCTCGGATGGAGATGACTTACGTCCATAAAGACCAAGAGACAAAGTATTGTATATTGTCCACACTCGCCCCCAAGTAGGGTTCCACGTTTGGATTATCGGAATTCGCACGTGCTGGGCCCCGTGCTGGTCCCGGCCGACGATGGCCGAAGGGGAAAGCCCCCTCCTCGGGTCCGAACGCACCAGTCTTCAGTGTTCTTTGTTCTCCGAAGACTCAGCTCGCAGCTCCCCCGAGCTGAAGAGCCGATCGAATCCCCTCCCCTGCCCAGAGGAGATACGCATTCATAAGCACGGGAGGGCATCGATCTATCGATCAAAACCGGTGCTCGGCAGACAGGGCTGAGGACAGTGCCCTCTGTGAACTCAGGGGGCTCTTAGTGGGACTGGGGGTTTTGAGCTTAAGCGAGCGCTCCGTCCCGTTCTGACAGTCCAATCCATTTCAGTCCAGGTCGTGCAGTGCTGTTCGTGCAGTCGCTCGCTGAGCATACTCGGAGAGGGCGTCTCATCGCTTCGTGACTAGTGAGCATCTCTGAATCTGTCACCCGTGAGGTCGATTTCTCGTCGGGCGCGAGGAAAGTCGACCGAGGAGAGGCTGGTTTGGATGCCGGAGGACCGGAAGCGCACAAACCCAAGGACAAGCGGGTGCTAGAAAGCTCGTGAGAATGGCAGCGGCGGTAATTGGATTCGCTGGAGTGGCGAATCCAATCGCGGCAGCTTCCTCGTTCAGAAGAAGAGAGCGCAAGAATCTGAGCCAGAGCAGGTCGGCGCTAACGGGAGGCAGCAGCAGCAGCGAGCTGCGCAGCAGGGCAAGCTTGCGAGCAGGCGAGCAGAGGCGATCGAGGCACGGGGCGAAGGTGCGATGCGTGTCGATCTCGAAGGACACGCCGCCCACGACGACGACGCTGCCCCTGCGAGAAATTCCGGGCGACTACGGGCTGCCATTCTTCGGCGCGTTCGCTGACAAGATGGCCTACTACTGGACCGAGAAATTGCCGAAATTCTACGAGAACCGGCGCGACAAGTATAAGAGCACCGTGTACCGGATGAACACGGTGCCTGGGCCGCCGGGCTTCCCCGACCCGCGCGTCATCATCCTCCTGGACGAGAAGAGCTTCCCCATCCTCTTTGACGTCTCCAAGGTCGAAAAGAAGGACGTGTTCACGGGCACGTACCACCCGGACTTCAAATACACCGGCGGCTACCGGGTGCTCCCATATCTCGACCCGTCCGAGGAGAAGCACGCGCTGCTCAAAGGCTTCTGCTTCGAGGTGCTCAAATCCAGCGGCCGGCGCGTGTTCCCGGAGCTTCACGCCAAGCTGGCGGCGGTGTTCGACGGGTGGGAGGCCGGGCTCCAGAAGGACGGCAAGACCAGCGCCACCAAGGACCTCGGCATGGCCACGCTCCGATTCATCGTCACGGCGTTCACGGGCCAGGACCCGACGGCGCCCGACGTGAAGCACAGCCTGGGCGCCGGCGCGCCCACCACGTCCAAGCTCTGGCTCGCGCCCCAGATCCTGCCCATATTCGTGCCGCCGGCCGGCGTGCCCAAGCTGCTGATCCCGCTGATCGAGCTGCTGATCCACACGTTCCCGATCCCGTACTTCTTCGTGAAGAGCCAGCACTCCAAGATCTGCGACTTCTTCCGGTCGCACGCCGGGCACCTGCTGGACGTGGCCGAGTCGCAGTTCGGGCTGGCGCGCGACGAGGCGCTGCACAATCTGGTGTTCTACACGATCTTCAATGCGTGGGGCGGCATCGACATTCTGTTCCCGATCCTCGTCCGGCGCGTGGGGTCGACGAGCCCCGAGTTCCAGCGCGAGCTTGGCGCCGAGGTGCGCCGGGCCATCGAGGCCAATGGCGGCCTGAATCCCGCTGCGCTGCGCGACATGCCCACGGTGCAGAGCGCCGTGTGGGAGGCGCTGCGCATCGAGCCCCCGGTGCCGTTCCAGTACGGGCGGGCCAAGGAGGATCTGATCGTCGAGTCGCACGAGGCCGCGTTCCAGGTGAAGAAGGGCGAGATGCTGGCCGGCTACATGCCCATGGCCTGCAGGGATCCCAAGGTGTTCACCGACCCCGACTCCTACAACCCCAAGCGATTTCTGGGCGACGAGGGCCAGAAGCTCGTGCAGTACGTTCTGTGGTCCAATGGCCCCGAGACGGAGGACCCGACCTTGGCCAACAAGCAATGCCCCGGGAAGAATTTCATCGTCACCCTCTCGCAGCTTTTCGTGGCCGAAATTTTCTCGCGGTTCGAGACCATTCAGGTCGACTACGCCTCCGGAGAGTTGCGCTCTCTGAAGCGTGTGTCGTAGAGCGGCTGGAGTCGAGCCGAGCTCTTTTGTATAATGTACATCACCTCGGGCTGTGTTATCGGTGGTCGTCATCATCGCAGGCGACGGATCGTGATGCAGTTTGGAGCCCGGGCGAGCTTGGGGTAAATTCTCGAGGTCGGATCATTGGCCGGGTGTCGATGTAAGACGAAAAACGAAGAGGAGGAGAGGAAGAAGAACCTCGCACTGTTTGTAGAATAGGGTTCTGTGTCACGAGACGCTCGTACTTCTCTCCCAACAGATGATTGTGTACATGTTTCCAGATATGCTTAGATGATGGAAGATCGAAATGCCCTTAATTAGTAGTTGGCTTACTTATTCTTAGAGCAACGATTGTGACACTACATGTACATGTCTTGTCCGTCCCACTGGCCACCTCTGTCAGCTTCATCAGGAGCGGAGAGTGATGTGTAAAATATGTTGTGCAATTTGCAACGATTCCTGAGAAATTCGAGAGGCTCACGGGCCGGTACCACAATGGAGATCTTTGCACTGGACGCCGCGGTCTCATCAGATGTTCTGGTCTGCGGTTTCGACCAATACCTGTTGCTGATGCTTGAATTCGTCCAAAGACAGGCAGGTTTTGTTTTCTTGGCCTCGAATCCATGCAACCCGGTGCCTCTCAAGTCTCTGCTCGTCACCAGTTTGTCACCAGTTTTCCGTTGAATGTTCTGCACTGGGTTTCGGGGTAAAGAGGTACGAAGGCTGCTCCGGAGCAGAGTTTTATCCGCGATCCGTTTCCCAAGGGCTTCGGTAAGAGACAGCTAGCTCGTTATGGCAGTTTCTGCTTTTTTTACTCCCGCTTTTATCGGATTGGCAGGATTGAGATTTCGGACAAGATGGCTCACTATCACCATTTGCCAAGTGTCGCACGAGCCAAAGAGGGAAACTGCATTATTGTCGTCGTGAGGCGCCGCCTCTGTTTGTAGCCCTGTGTGCAACAGGTCAGCTTTGCACTCGAGTGACTAGGGAGATCGTCAGCTGTACTGACCCATTGACACTGACCCATACGTCCTGGATATTCGCTTCCCATGTGTCTACATGGGAGCTGCCTGTCCTTCGACCGTCTCTTGCTTCGGGTCCATGCGACATGACTTCTTCCTTCGCCACTGTACACACTGTCTAGAGAGAGAGATCGATACTTCAGTTCGTGCGGTGGTCTTGGATAGAGTGGGATGGTCTGGCTCGCGTCCCGGCTCTGATGGGACTGTCTAGTGTACTCTCCTGTGACAATGACCAAATCCTATCACCAAATGCGGCCATGATGATCAAATGCGGCTTGTCCGGCCTATCGAGTTGGAAAGGTGAACCATTTTCAACACAATTTCTATCGGTGTACATCGACCGTGAAGAAGTCAGACCCTCCTCGCTGCTTCTGCTGCTGGGGCTACCCAGCGGAGGGGTATGTTCAGAGTTGAGGTCAACAGAGTCCAGTAGTGCATCAGAGAACCTCCGGTTCCGTGAGAATCTAGCGATAATATCATCGTCTCGACCAAGGGGATACATGCACTGTCTCAGATCATGGTTACTGAAGTCATCAAGAACTGTACCTTCGGAGCTTTGTCCCGGGAGAGAATTCCATGTATGGCCACTTGTCGCTAGTCCAGACCTGCAGGCGAGTGAAGACATTCGAGCACAGCAGATGTACTGTACTGTATTAACATGTGTGTAGCACACGAGAACCCCGTGCCGGGTCAGAGCTTTATAGCTGCGTCGACCGCTGGTGCCGATTGGACTGAAAGCACGTGCTCTTCCACCAGCTGAGAAACCTTGCCTTCCCCAACGACCACACATACTGCGGAGGGGCACGGATTGATGCAGCGAAAAGATACATCTAGGCTCCGAAAAGGCTCATGGTAAAAGAACAATACTGCAGCAAAAGGATGGATCGAGGCTCTACAATTCAACATAATAAAAAGACATATTGTACCTAAGGGTTTAAACTATAACCTTTTAGGTTATAGTTTTATTGTTAGGTTGTGGATAGTACTAGGCACTACTTTTGTTCAACAACAGAAATCATGTTATGCACTATAAATAATACTGTAATATGTTTTAAAAGTCAAGTTTTTTAAAAATCAAATTTTTAACCATCAAGTTTTGTTTTACCAAGTTCTAAAATTTGCTAGTGTAAATATATGAGCATGAGGGTTTAGAGACTCTTAAAGTTTATGACTGAGCTTTTGAAAACTTGGAATCTCCAATCAGATTCTCCGAAAACATCATCATTACTAGTGGAACAAGTGCCAAACAATCTCTCCTCATCATAGCACTGCACAAATTCGGATAGCATTGTAATCAGCTGTCAAAGGGATTCCCTTTGCAAAATTGTCTCAAGCATGCCAAAGGTTGAGGCGGTTCGGACAACTGTTCCATTTTATGGTAGGGCGGATGGGACGTTGGTTTGGATTTCTGTCCGGGGCAAGAGGGAGCGAAGGTGAAGAACAGGAAACGTGAGTTTTTTGAGAAGGGCACGGGCAGCGTTCAGAAGCAGATTGCTGATGCACATACTGCGGAGATGGTGCATCTTTCAGAGCCATGATCGGGGAAAGTAGGAATTGCACCGTAAGTGGGGTATCGTTCAGAGCCATGGGTGGCAAAAGTTGGAATTGCATGCAACGTCGTGGGGTACTAGAACATGGATAATGTGTACCGTCGATGTGAGATCATCGACGGTACACATAAATTGAAACTTGATGTATCCCAATAATCAACTTTTGTTAGGTAGGGGTTCCAACAAGTAATTATCTTAGTTGTGCTGCAATGGGAATGCAAAACCTCAATCAGTTCAATCATGCCAAAATTTTTTACCTGAGAGTAGATTAAGTTTTCAAATTTATTCAAGATTCATGAAGTTTGAGTAAGATACTTATGAAATTTTTTGCTTGGTATAGCTCTTCACTCTTGTCCTTGCTTCTGAACAAATAATTAATACTATTTTATTTAAATTGTGAACATGTCTTTACACCTCAAACATCAATATATACCTGAATAAAATATTCATCTAATTAAGGATTTCAAAAAAATTCAATATAAATGAAATCTAATTATTATATCTTTAATGATGACATCATTTTTTATAAAAAAATCCATTTTAAATAAATTCTGTAGTTATTCATGATTATTTCATGCATTTAAAAATAAAATTAAACATATTTTGGAAATAATTTTTTTGACCATATTTCTTTATGTACGAATTAAGGTAATTTTTTCCCTTTTAGCACCATATATATTCCGTATACTGGATATAATTGAAGAGATTATGCTTGAGATAAAAATGTTAGAGTAAATTCAAAAGTTTTGATATAAAATCTATTAAATTATTATTTTTTTCTAAAAATAATTTTAAAATAATATAGATAAAATTTTATATAAATTTTAAAACTGAACTTATCAATATTTAGCTCTTGTAAAAAATTTATTGAAAAATAAAAAAATTTCATATAAAACATTATAGTTTGAATCGGTACATTCAAGTATATATGTATATATATGAGAGACATCTCATAAACAACTGCAATAACATTCATTCAAATTTTTTTTTGTAACACTATATGTTAACATTGTTTTGTTACATAATAGCATGTTGTGATGAATCACGTTATATCTGTGTGGACTCACACAAACGTCTTACTTTTGCATGAAACTATTACTTGTGTTTTTCTGAATTCTCAATTAACAATTGCTATCAGAGCTGTGCGAGGAGATGGCGACAATTGACAAAATGTTGAATCCAAGATGATGAGATTTAGATCTAGAATGACTATTCATGCGAGAGATCCCAGTCTAGTGGTATGTCCATTGAGAGTAAGAAAATGTTTTGTTAGAAATGTGGTAATAATGGTCACATCAAGAAAAATTGTCATGTAAAGATCAAAGGTGTAGTTCCCATTTCATTGGCGAACGTTAAAAATCCGATTGACGGCATATTGGAATCTAGACTACCACGAGATCTAGGTTTATGAATAATGAAAGGAAGAGGTTCTAGTCTAAGGGTGAGAGAAAGATATTCCAATCTAGAACTAAGTACTAAGAGAGTATGATGGTGATTTGTTGGAGATGTGGCAAGAGTTACCACTTAAAAAAAATTGTTGTGTAAATGTCAAAGATGTTGTTTTACTCCATTGATGAATGATGCAGCGAACTTTGATCTCGAGGAGAATGATTTTCTGGATGATAACCTATGATGCCAACAGAGTTAGAAGCTATGAGATCTAGCAACATGTAAGATTCTGTTAATAGGAAGGTTTCTTGCAATGAGAATAGATCATTAAAAGAGTACACGAGTTACCGGGTCCTTCGTGCTAACAAGGAAAAATCTATTCTCACTGATATAGTTGTGGAAGAGTTTGATCATTATAATAACCATCTTTAGTCAATTAGAACTAAAATAGAGGTTATTCTAAATGTTGATATATATACTTTAGCATGCACTAGTCATAACTGCCACGTCAACGATTTGCATGCTTGGTAGGTAGAGAATATATGTATTAGTTGACAGCGCCACGTCAGCGATATGTGTGCCTGTTAGGTAAGGATTAAGTGTGTTAGTTAGGAGTGCCACGGTAGCACTCCGTATGCTTGTTAGGGTTATCTGCCACACTTTCCATCCACTGGTAGTGAAATGATGATGATAAGATCTTATATCCTTGTACTTATTGATTAGAGCTATGTAAAGGAGAAGAGAACCATTGTTAATATATCTCATCTTCAAAGTTTATGTTATCATCTTTGAGTGAACTTTTCTCTAAACCCTAGTGTTACAATGGTATTGGAAAAACCTTGCTCTTTCCTTGAGTGTGTATCATCACTCATTGAATAACAAAAGAGTGATGATGGAATGTATAGAGGTTAGCTAAGATCATTGATCTGCACATAGAGAGGAAAAAGAGTAAATTATGATTTTGCAGATATGGACGGGCTTGACAATAATACAATACAGCATTGGTCGATTCCTAACCTATTTGATATTCACTTTTGTTGCATGGAGAAACATCATTTTTGGATGTACCTCATGGTTTGTTGGGATGCAAATTTCATGACTAGAATGATGGAGTCAAAAGTGCCATTGATTCTTCCAATAGTTATTTATGAAGAGACTTGGGTTTGTAATATATACATTATACACTGAATGTTTCATGAATTTGAATCGTGAACCACCCGTCCTAATTCGATTCCGCACATATGTAGAGATTAGAATAGTTACCGACAGAAGAGATCGTGGAGAGATTTTCTTGTGAGGAATTATGGGGATGAGTATTATAGAGCTGTGATAGATTCAACTATAACTTTTATGGTTCCATTTTTGAGGTATCAAATAGTGATTATACTCACTTTGTATTAGAGTGAGTGTGAGAAAGCAAGGGGACATCAATCGATATGAATGAGATTCTCAACGCAATCATGACGGAAATGAAGGAGTTGAAAAAAACAATAGAGTATATGCATACCAAATAGCAAGCCATGGAAAATAACATTTTTGTATTGGAGAGTGAG